TGAGGTTATCCCGCAGCCTGGGAGTTTGTGCAGCTCAGCACGGGCAGGTCAGCTCCGATGGAGAGCACGGAACTCCTAAACATGCAGCCGTGTCTCGGTCAGGATCGATGCACCGTTCACTGTTTGGGTGAAGGGGTAGGTGGAGAGGAGCAGACTAGCACGAGAGTCAGGAGAAAATGAAAACAGAGGTAAATTGGGTGTTGCCCCAAGGAAGTACTCAGAAACTGTGTACTCAAACGAGAAAATGGGTAACCTGTGTGAGCGAGTTCAGCTGTGGTACAAACATTGGGGTTAGCTGCTTGACTCGGCCACGCTTTCCCGAAAAACAGTTTTAGTATTTAAAAAAAAAAAACCACAAAAGTAGTACCAGAGCAGCTACTGATGTTGCAGTCCACTTTGCAAGGACTTGGAGTGGGACATGGGGTTAACAGGTCCGTATACTTTTGACCAGACAACCGCGTTTACTGGGTAAGATGGGCTTCTGCAGACAGCGCTGGCAATTGGGTCGGATTTAGTGGCTATTGTTTTCCCGTCGTGGTTGGAAAGCATCTGAATCCCGGTAATTTATGCCTGATGCTTTGTCGTTTGACATGCCAGAAGATCTTAAGCTCTCTCAGTAGGCGTTTTCATGTTTATCTGGCTGAAGTCCTGTTTGTAAAATTGCAGAGGAAAGATTACACAGCGTTAACAAAGTTCCTCCCGCCAAAATACGAGTATGTTCTGGAAGTTCGGATGACACCGATTCAGTGCAAACTCTACCAGTACTACTTGGATCATTTGACAGGTATGTGCCTGCAGTTCTCTCAGGTCACAAGATTGGTGGGCGTTTAACAAGGGGCTTTTTCCCACAGTAGCTTGGGGTTTTTTATATGTGTTTTTGGCTCTATGGATGTATTTTTCTGCTTCCTGTAAGATTTACTTTAGATCTGAAACTTGAATTATAGCAAAATGTTTGGTTGCAGGTAATTTTTTTTTTTTAAATAATATTTGCATCTCTTAACAGTAATCCACCTTCAGGTTTTGGTTCATCTCTTTTCATCCTTTTCTAAACATAAACCATAATTGACTTTAATATCTTGCTCTTCCAAGAAATAAGATACTGACTGTAAGACTGCAGGGAGAGAAAGCAAAATTGAGATGTACTGGCGTAAGCACGCTGCCAAGCCTTGCAGTTTCCTTGTGTCATTACAGCTGAAGCTGTTATTTGTCAAATATAGGCTCTTTTGTGGAATTATCTCTCCTTTTGTTCTCAAAACCCACAAGTCTGGTTTTTACCGTGACCATGCTTTTCATCAGCTTTCGGTGCGGTCTTGACTGGTCTGTCTTGGGGACTTGCATCTTCCCAATAAAACATAAATTTGTTTAATTGGAAAGGTGTATAAAGAAAAAACCACAACCACCACTCCAAAATACGTTACTGTGGGCTGGTGTGCTGTTCACTGATGTTAGGGATAAACCACCGCAGCTTCCAATTTTAATATGTCAAGGTGTTGGAATATCAGCACTTCTACATGATGTACACATATATACCACGTAGACTATTAGAGTGGTAATTTCAAGGAGCTCTTAGTGAGATTTTCTGTACCTTTGTGCTTCATGCAGCCACATTCCTCAGCAGCAGCTTTTGGGTTCTGGAGAAATTCTGGGTTTTTTTACATACTGTTTATAATAATTGACCTAATGATCAAGGCTTGAATTCTATAGCCAAGAATATTTAAGGCATTGCTGATAGGATTTTGTCTGAAGCTTGAAGCATGTACTCACTTTTTGCAGTGATTACAAAACATACTACATAGTCTGTTGTGCCATTTTATTTTTTTTTTTTGCACTTGCTAAGCCACCTGCCTTAAAATGCCTATCTCGCTGATAGATTTTTTTTTTTAATTTTTGTAAACTATTTTTTTCTATTGTGGTTACTCTCCCAAGTTTAATTACAAGAAAGATTAATTGTATTTCAAATTGAGCTATGATTTATAGTGGTATGAAATTCACGGTGTTGTCTTAATGGATTCTGGATAGTGCAGTTTGTGATCTCCTAGATTAGCTGCCAACTAGATTTCATTTCCACAGTTCTGTTGTCTATTGCCTTTATTTGATTAAGTTACAGAAGGGGAAGAGTTTTGAAGGACCACTGAAAGTAGTTTCACTTCTACTCATACCTCTGGTAATAACTGGATGCTTAAATGCCAACTGCCCCCTTTGCCCTGTTATTCTAAAGGAGTAAAAACTTTGTGTTTTATTTAAAAAAATACAAAATAACCAAAACCAATACAAACAACCCCCCCACTTCTTACATTAATAGTATTTCAAAACAGTATATAAACAAGCCCAAACCTTTCTATTTAGTGCTGATTCCTAATTAGTTCTGTACTGCAGTCTGCTCTGTGTTTGCCTCTTCTTCATATAAATGTTCTGAAAAGCAGGTTGTTTGTGTTCTGTTTATTTCTGCATCATGCTAAATGCCTTCCAAAAGCTAGGAGCTTAAACATGGTAAGCATCAGGTGTTTACTTTACAGGCATGCATCTAAATGAGTTAGGTTAAATCTTTGTAGCTTTTCATAGGAACTTTTTAATCCAGGTACGGTAGTTTGGTAGGTTCTCTCTGGCCTATTTCCAGTACAAAGTGGGGCTGGTTTTGTAATTTCAGACTCTCCCAACACTGACTTTGTTGCTCTGCCATGCTTTTAGATGGTGATGGAAGTCTTTTACAGATCATTGATTAGCATAAGAGCTAGTGCTGTATGTTTACAGCTGTTTTTGTCTTACTCTTTCTGGAAGTCTTTACATACAATGGCTTTCATACTTACTTTTTAATAAAGCAGGCAGCAGGTGAGAGGTGGTAGTCCCTAGTCCAGTGTCAGTTAAAGTTCAGGGAAAGGTTTGCTCTGGCAAAAAGCCTGTTACAGTCAGCTTTAAATTTGTTCTTTTGTTGGAGCCATTAATTTATTAACAGGTTGATGTGTAGTTAACGATAAGAAAACGCACTGCCCAGTTAGTTTAATTAATCTACCTAGACTTTAAGGGCTCAAGAAAATTGAGTTTAGCTAAGTTTGCATTTGTCAAAAAGGGTTGTGCTGTTACATGACCTACCAGTCCTTTGTGGGCTGCTTAAACTCCCTAAACCAGTAGAAAGCATTATCTGCTTTCTCTGTCTTCATCTTGGGTTAGCGTCCTGCCAGTTTGGTCAACTCTGCCAGTGCCAGAGACAATAGGAGAAAGAAGAGGGGAAAACAAGAGGAAGGAAAGACAAACAGTCTCTTTTAAAGGGGAAAAAGCTGGCTAAGCTAACCATGGCTCAAGTCTTCAGAGCAAATCTCCATGCTGGTTTCTGCTGCCCACATTAATTCTTTGCATTACTTTGGTATTTCAAAAGAAGGCAGTGTGCTTTCTGAGTTTTCATTGGAAAAAAAGGAAGTCTTGCTACTGAAGGTAAATATTAAATATAGTGGAGGAGTTGCTGCTTCTCATCTGCAAATTTTTAAAATTACATTTTTCTGTGCACTCTAATAGGCATAAACTAAAATACATGTTTTTAGATGAATTTTACCAAGTTTTTCCTTTGTTTAGCAAACATGATACATGTTTTCACTTCTGCAATACAGCAAATTAAAAAGTCTTATGGACTTCTTAACTTGAAACTTGTTAACAGGAAGTTTCTTTGTGATGTTAGCTCAGGTTTAGGGAAGTCAAATCTAAGAGTTTCTGTCATTAAAATTCAATTTTCCTGAGTCATAGGGGAGCACAAATGGGAAGATACTCGAAGCTGTTGTATGATAAAAACTTGCTTTGTTAAAATATTTGTACTCTGTGGATGTTTACTGGGATTGTCTGGTGTATTGAGCAAATACACTGAATAAGCTTTGTGCCTGTTTTGCTGTAGACCTTTGATGATTGTGATGCAAAAAATACTATTTTCTTTATTGTAACAGAACACTGCAGCATTACAAGTCATTAAGTAAAGGTAGCTCAAAATAATAAGCAAAATTCATTGAAACCTAAATGTAAATTTTGTAATATAAAGACAATTACAAATGTAATTTTGTCTTTTCTACCTTTGGCTGCTTTTACAAAAGCTGAATAGATGTGACTGTCCTTTTAAGAGGATTTGGATTCATTCCTGTACTGGGGGGAAGTGTGCTTTTATGTAAAAATGTAATCATGTTTCTCATTATCAAGAAAAAGGGGAAAATCTAATTTTGACAACTTTAACTAGGGAAAAAAATGCCTGTGACTCAGTAATTTGACCTCTTTTACAAGAGACATTACAATATGATGTGCATCTGGAAAGAACACTCAGTACTATGCTGACGGATTGTTCAAAGGGGGAGAGGTATGTGGCAAACTTACTTCAAGGTTTCATTCTAAAACCTGAACTTTATTGTCAGGTGTAGGTGGTGGCAATGAAGGTGGAAGAGGCAAAGCTGGAGCTAAACTCTTCCAGGATTTCCAGATGTTGAGCAGAATCTGGACTCACCCTTGGTGTTTGCAGCTGGACTATATTAGCAAAGAAAATAAGGTAAATTAGATATATCAAAATACTCTCTATTGAGAACTTTCCAAATAAGCTTTGCCAAATGCTAGGTAAAGTTTCCTCAAATTAATGGAAATCTTTGTTGCTGTGGGGTAATTTTGCTGCTGGTTTTGTCATATTTTTGTTTCTGGGTATGTTGTCATTCTTAAAACATTCTGCAAGGCCAACCCTTTGTAGAACTTACCGTTGTTTAAATGAAGAATAAGCAGATGGCTAAAGGTTTAATACAAGCTTCTGGATGAGCATGCTTAATAAAATTTCTGTTTTTTCTTTTCTAAGGGCTATTTTGATGAAGACAGTCTGGATGAGTTCATAGCTTCAGATTCCGATGAAACTTCAATGAGCTTAAGTTCTGATGATTATGCAAAGTAATTGAGCTTTTACTTGGTTTCGTTTGTTGGGTTTATTTCCCTAATATAACTTATGTGATTTCTGTAAAAGTGAATGTTTATTGTTTGTGTTGTGTATCTGCTAGAATGTGTTCTCTAGCAGTAGAATTTTTTAGAAATAATGGGGTGTACAATGTTGCTTTTCTAGGAAAAAAAAATCGAAGGGGAAAAAGGTAAAGAAAAAAAACCAGCGGAAGTGGCAGTGATAATGATGTTGAAGTCATTAAAGTCTGGAATTCAAGATCTCGTGGAGGTGGAGAAGGAAATGCAGAAGAACTCAACAACCCTTCATCTGTTACAAAATCAGATGAAGGTGAGTATAATGTACAAGTAAATAAAATGCAAGGCAGCTTCATTTTGCAAGAGGCGATTTGAGAGGGCTGTCAGGCATTCTGCTCTGTTGCAAAAGGGGAAATTCCTTAATTCCAGAACTGCTTCTGTGCTCGTAGCTCCCGCTACTTCTGGCAATACACTTGTCCTGGAAAAAGAAGGGGCATCAGTTTAGAACTCAGGGGTCTTATGTCAGGGAAGCAGCACAGTTAATTTTTTTTAATTCATAAGTACAAACCAATTCCAAGTTAACAGAGGAACTATGCTGCTTTAATCTCTTTTTAAACATATTGGTGACAGATTAGTGGAAAGATTAAGAAATGGGCACATCATTCATTTTGCACCTGAAATTTGAAATGGATATTGAGCAAGCAGATATAATGCAGCAG